TCAGGGTATTGTTTTGCATAAGATTAGGACTGGCAGTCTTATTGAGCTAGGTCCTATTGATCTTGGGCATTAGATTACCGAATATTAAATTGCTGAAATTGTGTGAGATTTAAATACAGAATGGTTTGTTGTAATATCTTAAAACTTGAATTGTGAGATTTCAAACATTTTTTAAATTAATGTTTAATTTTGATACTATCTAGAGCAATGTTTCTCATCCTTGATCATTTTAAGATGTGTGGACCAACTTCTAGAATTTCCCAGCCTGCCATTTTTGGGAGTTGAAGACTCAGTTGGCAAAAATTGAGAAACAGTTATCTAGAAGAGAGATGGGGAGAGAGATGGAGTGTGTGTGTGTATCAACCAATTCAGATCAAATATCTCAGAAATATTTGAAATGCAGTTCTCTTGCAGTTTTCTCTCTCTGCAGTATGACAGCCATATGAGCAAATTTACAAGGGGTGAAATAATACCATCTTTTAAACCTTGTTAAAAGCTTATAGATATAATTTGCACTGAAATTCAGTTTTGATGTGTAGCAAATAAATGACACTAAATTGTACCGTGACCTTTATTTTCCAGGAGCGCCGGGAGCGTGAGCAGCAGGATCTAGAATTTGCCAAGGAAATGGCAGAGGATGATGATGACGGTTTTCCTTGATGCTCTGTAGGGATGGCATATTTGTTTGCAACCTTTTTTGTTTATTTTGTTTTTAAATGCAAAAATTTATTGTCTGAAAACCAGAACTTGCCTTCTTTCCATATTTTGCATGTTGGGGGCGGTACAATATATATATATATATCCTCTAGCTGCTGCAGGAAGAAGACCCAGGACCCCAGATTAAAGGGTTTGTCCTTGCTTCTGAACTAAAGATCACTGTGGTTTTCAGTCATAAATGTTTCCTATAATGGGCCAGGCTAATCCAGTATTGTCTTTACTGGAGTTTTACTCCAACTGGCAAAGTAATTTCAGTGACAGATCTTTGTTAAATTTTGTTTAGGACTTTTAAATAAAAGTTTGAGGAAAATAAAATGCTTCTTAAATGGAACTCATGTTTACTCAGATCTAACTGGAGCACTGGCAATATAGGAATTCAAACTATTTTTTTTCCCTGATTGATATTGGAATGCCTAAAAATATCATCCTATTTGATAAGAAAAAATAAGTGTTACACGCAGAGGAATACAGTCTGAGCACCAATTAGTGAAAGAAAACATGGTTTTTAAAATAAAAATAAATATAAAAATTAGATAATTTTTCTTGCATTTCTCTAGTTTTTGTTACCTTGAGTAATTGGTTCAATAGCAGTAGTACTTAGACTTGTATAACGCTTCATAGTTCTTTACAGCTGTCTCTGAGCAGTTTACAGAGTCAGCATATTGCCCCCAACAATCTGGTTCCTCATTTTATCAACCTCAGAAGGATGGAAAGCTGAGGCAACCTTGAGCTGTTCAGAATCGAACTGGAGTGAGCAGTGAGTTACCCTGCAGTACTGCATTCTAACCACTGGACTACCATGGCTTGTAAAATTATTACAATATATTTTACTCAATGACAAATTAACCTCTTGCAGGAGGACTCTGACTGGCAGATTACCCACTTAGTGAAATACATCATAAGCATGTGGCAGATAATAATCAAGAAATATATTAATATAATTATGGCGAGAAATCAAAAGATAGCTTGAAAGGTGGAGACATTTATAGCAGTCTTGGTAGGATCATCTGCAATTATCAAAATTCATTTGTTCATTCAAAATACATTACTCCAAATAAATGACTATTTTAAATGGTACCAATTCCAATATCAAAGAAAATATTACGATAGCAAAAAAATTATCAATCCATTTATCTGGAGTGGAAAAAGAACAAATTATTTTTTTAAAAAATGCGAGGTTCAAAACACAGATCTTGATCTTCCAAATTTAAATTTTTATCATAGAGACAGTTACCTCATGATGAGTGTAGGGCAAGATTTAACAGGTGGAAGGTTATTAAAGGTTATTAAAGAGATCCAGAATTAAGGAAAATACAATTACATGTGCAGATAGGGTTTATTCAAACTATGAATAGATTAAATTCTTGAAATGCTTATACAAAATCAATGGCATCGTTAGAGCATATATAAATTCCTATTCCAATATGACAATAAATAAAAAATTGATAAAATACACAACAGTGGGGGAAACTACATGAAACCTTTAAAATTCACTCCAATTTACAATCAAAGAAAATTTATATATAATATTTTATGAATGATATGCAACTTAATTTTCAAGATAGATAAATCATTAAATAGCAAATAGTGTAAATGCTGTGAAGGAACATTTTACTATGTGGTAGATATGGTAGTCCTCAATGACCCATTGCTTAGCAACTTCTCAGAGCTAGCTACAATTCAGTTCCAGAGTCCAATGGCTGCACACATGCCCCCCCACAATGATCACATTTTGGGCATTTAGCATCACATGCACAAAAGCCCTTTTGCAGTGTGTATACATATACACACACATACCTATAGAGAGTATTATCCAGATAATTTTAGAAATTAAACTTGAAATCATATTTTAGCTAGGTATAGTTCCAGCATATATGTATAAGAAATATAATTTACTGAGATACATGCTCACAGCTACAAAAATAAACTATGCCCAACACTGGTATAAAAGTGAACAAGATCCGATTAGAATCTTAATTTGAAAAATATGCAACAATTGTAAAACTAATAGTATTTATCCACAACAGAAGTTTTGTTTAAAACTAAAAATTCAAGCAAAAATGGTTTCTATCTAATCAATGCATCACACAGCAAGGCAAATAGAAATATTTACAATACGGGTTCTAAATATTGCAAATTTGCAAAAGTATAAACAAAGATAGAAAACACATAACTGCTTTTTCAAGCAGTTCATTTTTTTTCCTATCTTAATATGAATAATATATAACAATACAATGAAGACCTTAGTATTAAGCATGAAACTCAAAATTGTAAACATTATAAAATAATTGAATGTGTTTTGCTGTTGCCAATCAATGCCATCGTTAGCTCTATTTGTACAATTTAAGTAACTACAGATGGGGCCAAAGTATTGGCACCCTGCACTTTTCCCAAAAGAATTGCAATTTGCTATAAAACAAATTGAAACAAATTGGAATCTATCATTGACTATTTCATTATCCATAGAGTAGACTTCTGTTGTATGACTCTTGTAAGTAACAAAACAAATTAAAATGGCATGAACAAAATAATTGGCAACCACAATCAACCACTTTCTGTAGCTCTGAAAAAGACTTCTAGACTTCTCAACTGGCAATTTGTCCTATTCTTGTTGAGCAAAGGTGTTTTAGGTTTGATGGATTCTCCCAACAGCAAGTTTTAGTTCTTTCCATAGTTGTATTATTAGGTACTCTTAGACCACTTCAGAGCAGTTGAATTTTCTGCCATTCTTGGATCCTCTTGGATGTATGTTTTGATTCATTATCCTGGTGAAGGACCTGTGACCTGCAATTGAGACAGAGCTTTCTAACACTGGGCATTATGTTTTACTCCCAGAATACCTTGATAATCTTATAATTTCATTATGCCCTGAACATATTCAAGGCACTGCTGCCAGAGACAGCAAAGCAACTTCATAAAATTATGGAATCGCTCCTGGTTTCACAATAGGGATGGTAAAAACACTTGTTCTGTGAATATAGAACTGCTGTGGCTCACTAAAAACCTCTTAATTTTATTTCATCTGTCCAAAGCACATTCGCCCAGAAGGACTGGTTTGTCATTGGTTTTAGCAAACTCCTGGGTTTTTTGTATGTCTTCCTGGATCCTTTCAGCGGGATAACAATATATGGTGTAAATTGATATTGTTGCATCTTGATCTTGAAGTTCAGCCCAAGTTTTGTTCTTTCTTTCTCCACCTTCAACTCTCCTTTTGTTCAATTTGGAAACAATTTTCCTTTTGAGACCACATTTAGAGAAGTTAACTACAATCCCATGGCTCTTAAACTTCTTGTTTGTTAGCAGTTATAGTCACAGGGACATGAAACTCTTTGGAGATGTAGTCTTTATCTTTAATATGCTTGATCATTAGCATTTTCCTTTTGTCTTGAGGCAACTTTTTGTTCATGTTCATGATGACACAGTGACAAATTGCTGAGTAGTTTTTCTCATTCAGATATGCTGAGAGATTGATTATGAGATTGAAATGATACTAAATGATATTAAGTAAATAGTCCACTTGACATATCACATTTAATATCTTTTAACTTCTAAAGATATCAATAATTATCCATCCCAGTTTTATTTTTTAAAACTTATTATTTTTATGACTATGTCATCATACATTAAAATCTAAGTGTCAATAGATTATGGAATACTGAATTAGGTTTAGGTTAGGTTTATTAGATTTATATGCCGCCCTTATCCCAAGGACTCAGGGCGGCGTACAACATTAAAAGAAACACANACATCTAACAGTGCTGTGCGGGACTTCCTCATCAACTTCCTGGAGGAGGCAAGTTAAGAGGAAGTTGAGGTGGGAGATAGGCTGGATATTCCCACTGAATTTTAGGAGGATTGGCGTGTATTATCTCTGATTGTCAGAACCAAGAACAACATGTGAAGTTACTTTTGAATAGTTCCTTTACTGTTGTTCACCAACAAACAAAATCTTGTCAGAATTTTAAAAACTACCTGTAATAACTAATACTTTCTGAAATCCAAGGGAAGGTCCCATCTTGTTCTCATCTTGCCCATCAGATATTTCAAACTCCTCAGTCGCTCTATCATTTGGAAAAGAGCAGTCCCTCTTTTCTGCTACTCCAGATTACATTCCACCACACTGAAACATTTAAGAATAATTTAAATGTTGAATTATGGAAGTTGGAAAGATGATCTTAAGCCATAAGTACATTGGCTTTTATGAGAAAGAGAGTGAAATGTCTATTTTTATTTATTTCTTTTCCCCCTTCTCTCTCTTTTTCTTTTTTCTTATCACTCTAAAGCCTATGGACACAGAAGTGGACCTTCAATTCCGACCCCGTACAGGGAAGGCAGCTTCCACTCCTCTTTTGCCGGAAGTAGAAACATATCTTCAATTACTCCTGGTTATCTATTTGATGAATAGCAAACGCTATCAAGAGGTACTGGACTGACGTTCCATATGTATTGTTTCCTAATTGAAAGCAAAGATTTGCGAAAGATAAGATAAACTTAGAGGATGGAAGAAAGAGCAGGGAATTAAAACAGGAAAATTAGGAGTTATCTAATACTTTCCACACATACCCAGCTAGCGGTATATATAGGAGATAGTAAATGTATTAGCAAGAAACAAATGTATCCATTACAAGGATATTGCATCTTTTGAAGATTTGAACCCATAAAATTGGATCAGATTGTAATCAAATAACTAGTAATAATTTTGCAGAATTGTCTTTGATACTGGTCCTATCCCCTCTTCTTATTTGTTGGGTTTTACCACACTTCTTCATTCAACATGCAAACTGTTTTCCCCCAAAGCTAATGTGAATGAATTTTGCTTGCATATGTGCATAGGATTCTCATGTCCGAATGAATATATTTTTATTTATTTATTTATTTTTACTAAAATGACTTATGAAAGATTTTAAAAATAATCTTTTGCATATCTGATAGAGCTGATCCATACTTAATGATATTATATAAAACTTCCTTTGGAACCTTACATGCTTTTTACATTATTTTCTTTCTTCAGGCCCAGAAAGTTTCAGATGATTTGATGCAGAAAATAAGTCCTCAAAATCGCCGTGCCCTTGATCTAGTGGTGGCCAAGTGTTATTATTACCATGCTCGTATCTATGAGTTCTTGAATAAGTTGGATGTGGTCAGGAGGTAAAATTGGAAGCATTTGGGTGTTACCATCATCTCCTCACCACCACTCCTTTGCACTTTCTTGGTGACATAACCTCTCTCCATTTCTTTTTCTTTTAAAGTTTCCTTCATGCTCGTTTAAGGACAGCAACACTCCGGCATGATGCAGATGGGCAGGCTACTCTGCTAAATTTGCTGCTCAGGAACTACCTTCATTATGACCTTTATGATCAGGCAGAAAAGCTGGTCTCCAAATCAGTATTCCCTGAGCAGGCAAACAATAATGAATGGGCCAGGTATCTCTACTATACTGGTAAGAGGAAACAGCTGGTCCTTTTTGATATAAAATATCATACTCTGCTTGATTATAGTTATTAAGGTTGTGCTTATAATTATTAAGGGTGTGCTTTTGACCATAAAAGCAAAACAGAACGAGTTAACATGTATTAATTTATCGTTAGTAAAAGCAAAATAAATTATGTAAACTAAGATTTTCTATACTCTTCTCCTTGAAGAATAGAATATCCTCCTTAATCGTCTATATATGCTCGCTCTTTTTTTTTTAAAGGTAAAAATTAGAAACATTTAAAAAGCTATCATTCTTATGATGTTTAATAGATTATAAGTGCCATACTTTTCTGCTACTGTCAGATGTCCACATTACTTTTAGATTTATTTCAAGCAATATTGGGCTTAAGAGTACGATAACTGGGAAGGGAACAATTATTTTGGAGTGTTTACTTTCCAATTTCTTTTAAGTTTTGTGAAGCCTATATTTATATTTGCTCAGTAGTTTCTCGACTACTTACTATAATGGTGTCATAAATTTATTTTAGTTAAACACATTCAATTATAAGAAACACATTTCCAAGGAGGTAATTTACCTTGAATGTAATAATAAAAATAAGCAACAAAGAAAAACTAAAAATTCTAATGTAAATATTTATGCTATGTAGAACTACACAGAGGTGCTTGTCTGTTCACGTAAAATACAGCTCATTTATTGGATTGAACATGAGTATTAAACAAAAACATGTCAGGTTAAGGTGGTCTTGAGCCCTGGATTATGTGATGCCATTAAAGCCTTTTTTAATGAAACATTCTAAAAACATTCAGAACACAGTGGCTAGAAAACTGGTGGCATGATTCCTTGCCATTTTGTAATGTAAAATACAGATAAATTATAGTATACATCCTAAAATAAAATTACAACCTACCTACCGTGGTCTCAAATCACTAAAACATTAAAAATAACTACAAGTAATCTTCAAGTTACGAATGTAATGGAACCTGCCAATTGCATTCGTAACCCAAGGATTCTTTGGAGTGAATCATATAAAATGAACATGAAAATTCCCTGCTTTTGCCCATTCAGTCAGTAATTGAATGCGTAGGTCATTAAGTGCACATGAGATATCTCAGGGTGGGGAAGGCCATCAGGGGCCTACTGATGGAACAGATCATCTACTTAAGATCACCCTTGACCTCTACCGACCCACTGAGATAATTCATGCTCTTCACAATTGCTTCCTCCCACCCATCCTACCACACTAGATCTCCACAGACACTGGGCCTGTGGAGACTCAACTTGCAAAGATCTAATGTACTGTCTCTTCTCCAGCCTCTCTGCCATGGTTTCATTGCCTGCTCCAAAGCAGAATGGTGAGAGCAGAGGGAGAGTGGGACGAGCATGCTCTGCTTGGCTTCTCTGATTCACCGAGGCTGTCCACCATTGCAGAAGTGGCAGGCAACCTCAGTGAATCTCCCCCAAAGACTTTCAGTCTTGGCATGGAAAAGTATTTGCATACTGACAAAAAGCTTTGGGGAAGCAAAATCGTATTGCTTCAAACCTCCTGTCCGCTTGCAAATACTTTTCGTGCAAAGATTGGAAGCTTCTGGGCACCATGATCTCACACGACTTCAGGCACCCATTCTCTGCAAAAGCAGATGATCACAGCCCCCAATGGCTTCTAGTCTCAATGCAGAAAAGTGTTTGCAAGCCAATGGGACGCTTTGAGACTGTGATTTCATCGTGATCTTGCGGGAAAATTCAGAGGTATAGCTATTGTCATGTATAATAACCACAGTGGCTTCATTTGCCTGACGCTATACTGGGATTAGATAATAGCAGGATTTACTGTGTTAAAATGTTCCCTAGACTATTACAGAAAAGCCCACATTTGATTGAATATTTTTCCTTGAGGAAATATTCTTGATTTCTATTTCTAGTTTAGTAAGACAATACAAATTCACACCACAAAGGGAAGCAGGGGGAAATCTAACATCTCAGAGTAGCTTTATTGTGAACATTTGCCCTAATCTTTCTTAGCACTAGTTTTTTTTTCCTTTCCAGGCCGTATCAAAGCCATCCAATTGGAATACTCTGAAGCTCGGAGAACTATGACAAATGCGCTGCGGAAAGCACCCCAGCATACAGCTGTTGGCTTCAAACAAACAGTGAGGGCTTATTCCTCCAGAAGTGCTGTGGCCTGGGGATGCATGCATTCTGTGGCTACTAACTGAACAACTGCTGTATTATTGTATCCCTGATTTAGGTTCATAAGTTGCTGGTTGTGGTGGAGTTGCTACTAGGTGAGATTCCAGATAGACTGCAGTTTCGGCAGCCATCTCTGAAAAGATCNGGGAAAAGGGCAGCCTATAAAACCTAAACCTAAACATCAAGCATTGTATTTATCTTCTACACAGTTACTAGGGGTTAAGAGCAACTCAGTTAACTAACCATCATGTTGGTTTCTGTTTTGTAAAAGTAGTTTGCATTTATATATTTAGTACATTTATATGGCTCCCCAACACAAAGGACATGTCTCTCGCTGCATATAAAACCATTAAAATACAAACAAAAACTAGACATACCATTCAGGGGAAGGTTGCTACTGGAATTACTACTGGTTCGGTGCACGTGCAATTTTGCGCATGCACATATGCAGTTGCTCAGAACAGGTCTGCGCATGCACAGAACATTAATAAATGAAAATATATATACTGCACCGACGGGGGAACTAGTTCAGAGGCATGCAGGCCTGGGTTGCTGCCAGTTCCAGCAACCCAGGCCGGCAAATCACTACTGGTTCGACTGAACTGGTCCGAATCAGTAGGAACCCACCTCAGAGACTTTTGAAGCAAACTAAAATTATTAAATAGCAATCAGGACTAAAATAAAACTCACTAACAGAGAACTCCACTCATCCTGGTCCACCCGCCCAGGGAAATAGCCAGGACTTAACTGCCTTTCTAAAGGCCTTGCAAGGTCAAGCCAACCATACATTGAAAAGGTTAGGCGCATGTTTCTTGGGTCTCATGATAATGCTTCGGGAAAAAAGACCTGGAGTATGACTTCTCTGTTGGAGTGTGTATAATGGGATGGTACTCTTGGGTGGAGGTGATACCACAAATACCCCTGGTCCTATCGTAGGTTATAACCAGCATCTTGAATTGTATTTGAATATCTACAGGAAGTCAGCGCAGATCCAGAATATAGGTGTCACATGGGCATAACGATGAACTTCCATAACTACCTGCTCTACTGCATTCTGAAATAACTGAAGCTTTCGGATGATTTTCAAGCCCTGTTGAATAGTGTCTTGCAATAATCCCATTGGGAAGTGGCTAAGGAGTAGTAATCATGATTAAGGCTGCCCAATTCAAAAATAGGCACACATGGTTCACAGGACGAAGTCGTGTAAAGTTTCCCTTCATAATTACAGGAACTACGAATCCAGGAAGATCCACATACTGTGTGCTGAATCTTGAGTGGCAGAGTGCAATTCTGATGAAATTTCTCCAGTTCCAGGACTCAAGAGGTGCAAAACTCACAGCGGGTCTTGATAGAATTTTGCTGAAGCCTTAGTTGTATGCTTACCTGGGGTTAATATCATATATTATTTAGATACATAAACCAATAATGCTGGAGAAGTGGAAATAATAGTCACTAATGACATCACAACTATTTTGTGACGTTGGAAGTTACCCTAATTTGCTAAGTAAAGATCTGGAAGTATAATTCTCCAAAATAGAATTCTCTGAACTAAGATCATATCTGAATTTTATAGATATTTTCTATTAGGTACTGGCTTCAACCAGTAGAGACCCTGCTTAAAGTTCAGTTAGCGTTCCCCATTAGTTCTGAATTAGGAATTATGTTTAAATGGCATTTAATTAACATAACAAACCAGGATCACATATTGGTTTATTAATGTTAAAAAACCTTAATTAAAAATTAATGGAAACTAATTAGTTGTGAATGAAAGTATGTATGTGGCCAATTTGTATACATTGTATTTTGGCTATACATACTTATTGGGTAAAAGGCTATTGCTTGACAACATAATGGCAATCCCCATCCTCCTAAAGTTTATCCAACATTCCCAAGTTTTGCTAATTCTGTACATTAGAAGGTTCCCTGTGACTTCACACACTTCCTTTCCCCTACATCCTGGCCAGGAAGGGAATTTGAGATTGTCCTCGATTTCCCAATCTGGACTGATTAGTTCAGGGAGTCAGTCATCTAAAAGGCTTTTTCTGATGACACTCTTCTGTGTAACAAATAGTGTTGCTGATACTAGACGTTTTATAACTGCCCTCAAGGTGGCGCTTCATTTTATAAAATATTTAAATAGGGAGGAAGAGGTTGGTTTCTCTCATGCAATGTTGCACAATATGAAAAACATTATTCAACATGTAACTTAGGCATAGTAAAGTAATCAGCCAGCTCTACATTTTCTATACCTTTGGGGAGGTGGGCACTGTTTTTATTTCAGGGGTTGCAAATTTTACAATCCGAGTTATTTCATTCTCTGCTCCCTGCTGAAATTGAGGCATTTCTGCCAAAAATATAAACACAACCATGAGATAAGTCTTCCTGTGCAAGAGTGTAAAGCAAATTCATATCAATGGAATTTATTCAATAAAAGCATTGCCTGGAAGAAGAAGAAACCCTATTTCCAAGGGCATCTGACATCATCTGTTAAAGTGCAATATTAAACATTCTTTTAAACATAATCACCTATAAATGCTAATTATTTCTTCAAGAGCTTGCCTTGCCTTGTAGCAGATAATGGGGTCATTATAGTTAAATAAAGGTGAAAGCATAAACTGGTACCTGAACAGCAAGAGTTTTAAAAGGTGTGATGCCAGCTGTGGAATGAGTACGACATTTGAATTCTGCTTCAGGCAGCCAAATATTTTTGAAACTGCATTTTGTTTTAATGTGGAAGGGGAAGGAAAGGGTGAGAGCATTCTCCTTAAAAGCCACCCCATTCTGGCATCTTTCACATTATTGCAAAGTTGAAAATAGACCCCCTAACCACATTGATCAGGGGTCCCTCTATCCACTAATTATCCTCTGCATAATTCCTCTGCTACTGTGCTATCTGCCATTCAAGCTTGCCATGGTAAAGAGAGAGAAAATTCTTCAAATACCAAGTGTAGGAAGCGAAACCAGTCCTTTCTGCTGTCAATGGGGAAAGTAATAATCCATGGTTACATAGCACGGCAGATCTCTCCAGAGAGAAATGGCACAAGGAGAGAATTGGTACTTTTATATTTTTCTTGTCACAAGCCGGTGGCAGTTGACAGCAAAGGAGCAACAGTGGGTAGGAATTCTCCCAAAAGATCTTGCTGAGGGATCTCTCGGCTCTCTAAACCTAGAGAGGACCTAAAGCCAGAATCTTTGGTTTTCTTCTAAGGAAATAGTTTTGAATGGGATAGTTACCTTTCCCCCCTGAATTTTCTGCTTGAAGCAAAATTCCATTCTAGGAAAGGAAACCTGATTCATTTAACTACTAACACTGCCAATTCTTTAAAAGTACAGTATTGCTTTAAGATGACTAACTCTAACCTACACAAACATTTTCTAAATGGGGCTGGGGGGGAGAAACCCAGATGTCAAATACTTTCACCTCTACAAATTTCATCATCTTGGCAATTCCTTCAAACTTAATTTCAAAATTTTGTTTAAAACACAAGGCTGCAATACTGTCTCCCATGGGGTCACAATATCATTGGATTCTCCTCCTTGAGGTTAAAGGAATATCCAGTTGGATTCCAAGTGCCATCTTTGAGACAATTATTGATAGAAGCTATCTCCCTCCTTGGTTCACTACATCTCCCAAAAATGTAAATCACACTGAAATAAGTAGGATGGAAATACTTATTTTTACAAACAAACCCAAGACACAAGTGTCAGTAGACCAATTGGCTATGCTAATGCTTTAATTATCATTGGCATGTCTGTGCCCAAAAATGCTTGAAACAATTTTGGATAAGAACATATTAACTGCATTCACTTACCCCATTAAGCAATAATTTTGGCTTAATAAACACACTGCACAATAAAACTGTATACAATACAGTATAGTACAATGCAATAAATAACATCTGATGGCAAAGAAACCAGATGATGGTTTAATATAATAACCTGATCTGGTTCACACAACATATTAAGACAATAACTGTTTCTCAAGCCAGTTTACTCTAGTTGTTAAGGCACCAGGCTAGAAAGTGGGAGTTCAAGTCCTGCCTTAGCCATGAAAGTCAGCTGAATGACCTTATGCCAATCATTCTCTTTCAGCCTAACCCACCTCACAGGGCTGTTGCTTTTGGAGAAAATAGGAGAAGGAGGTATGTTCGATAAAGAGGAGGAAAGTGTATTTGATATGTTCACTGAGTTATTTATAAAAATAATGAAGGTGAGAGATAAATAAATAAAAATCACGTAACCCTATTTTAACTAGGCTAGCGAGCTACAGGTAGTTCTCAACTTACAACAATTTATTTAGCCGCTATTCAAAGTTACAACAGTGCTGAAAAACATGACCAACAACTGGTCCTCACACTTCCAAATGTTGCAGCATCCCCAGAGACATGTGATCAAAATTTGAGTGCTTGACAATCAGCATGTATATATCCCAGTTATAGCATTCTATGGTTATATGATGACCATTTGCAATCTTTCCAGCAGGCAAAGTCAGTAGGGAAAGACAGATTCGTTGAACTATTTTGTGATTCACTTAACAACTTTAATGATTTCCTTAACAACTGCGGCAAAAAGGTCATTTTAAAAAAGCAACTCGCTTAACAAGCACCTTGCTTAGCAATACAAATTCTGTTCCCTATTGTAGTCATAAGTTGCTGACTATCTGTATATGTCTCCAATCACTGAGAATAGAAAAGAAACAGTGTTAGGTTTTTTTTTTAATTAAAGGGGTTCGTTATTTGTTAAATCATAAATATTCAAATATGTTTCAATATGTAGGCTGACATACAGTCAAGATCTAGCCTAAATCTTCCCATACATATTGGACACTATATACAATATAAAGTGGTATAGTAGGAGCACACCTTAGCCAAATATACAGAAAAAAATAAAGAATTGCTGTCCTGCAAACTGTGTTTAGCTTTAATCCACCATACATTTTTTAAGAAGAATCTTCATCAGTTGGAATTAGTTCATGTTGCCTGCTAAAATGATCTGGTGCTGACTGGGGATATTATCCTGTTTTATTACATTTTAATCTATTCTAGAAAAAAAAAATTTCTCTGGGAAGATTATAAAGGTATATGGCGATCTATTACAAGAATACTACAGGAGAGAGAGAGAAACCCATTAATCTCTGTCCAGCTTAACTGATACTTTTACAGGTCCATCCAG